TGAGGGCGGGATGAGAGATGAGAGTTATACGTAGTGAGATATGAGAGTGGTTCGATGAGAGAGGAGAATACTGAAGCAACAAGAGCTGTGAGAGAAACAAGTGAAGTGGACGGGCGTGGCCAGAAAAGGGAGAGTTGGAGTCATGAATGGGTCATAGAGTGCTGCCCTATCATTGGTTGAAGCCCTGTGATCGTTTTGTAGCATATTATGATCTATGCATGAGGTTTTAGTGACATTGCATGCCGAAGGATGAAAGCATCGACACACTTGGGCCTAACAAACTCACACGCGGATGGCAGCCCTCAAACGATTCGTTCGTCTTGACGTCAACGCACATTTGTCAAGGGCCCTGCAATCAGGGAGTATACATGTGCATGCGTAATATTAGTAATTGATACAAGTCGTTTGAATATTGAGGAAATGCACCCCCATGGACTTACCAAGCAAGGATCGCCTAGCTGTAGAGGGTTGCCCCTCATTGGTACGCCTCCGCTTCGGAGGGGGCTCGGGTGTTGCCGGTGCAGTGGGGGCAACGGTGGCAGGCCCGGGGTCCGCTGAAGCAACAGGCGTCATGCAATTCCACTCTCGCATTATGTCGTCGACCCAATTCCAGTTCATTGGCCCTAAGATCCGCGAGCTCTTACCACGCCGCACCCTGGTAACTCGACCCATCCTGATCTTGGTTGCACGAACCTCCCTATCCAATGAATGGTTCCAATGCAACACCGTAAGACCCACCCGTGCCCTCATGCTTCCACGAAACAGTGTGCGTTTCGGAGCATACTTGCATATTAGTGAATGAAATGATTCATTCATCCAATTGCAAGACCCGTGAACATATGGTCTCATCTCGTCCTCCCCACAGTTTTCCTCAAGCCACTCCTTGAAAGCGATATGTGTACAAGAACCATGTTGGTACAGTACGCTCTCTGGTCCCCAGTTATCAGTCACGCATCTAGGAGTCTCTGTGCCCCCACCACAACGCGAATGGTCCCCAGCCCAATGATCAGCTGCACTCCCAATCTCACTGGCCACATCCTTAGCAGTCATTGGCACTCCCTGTTTCCAGCGTAACGCACATTGTGCCATCACATGATGAAAGTGCACACTAAACCTTTGCGCCACTGTCACCTCCTCGATCAGCTCATCCGGATCTTCCATAACCTCCTCTTGCACTGCATCGCCCGCCCCACTCCTCTTCCCGCCACGGGAGCGCCTATCCACCCAGCGTCGAGCGTGCTCCGCGGTCCCTCGATGTCCGTCTGCTCCAACAGCTGCACTTGCCCCATTTGAACCTGGTGGGAGGGCACCACAATACAAGGGAGATTTGTATTAGAAAGCGCTCTCTGGGGACTCACGTGCAAATGTGCTCATGGAACATATGTATCTCAACTTGTATGGAATAGCATTGCAGACACCATTGCAACATGGAATTTCTCACCTGTCTCATCAGCACTGGATCTGTGCCTCGGTTCGGCAGCCACCATGCCACGAGTCGCGTTGGCGTGGCGCGCCGCAGAGGCCTGCATGATGAAGAAAGATGCCACCAAGCAAGGCCGCACTCCATGCTCGGGATGTGGATCGTATCCCCACGGCTCTCTAACGTCCGAATAATGCAAATTTATCCGACCGGGAATGCAGCAGGTTCTGTGGCTCCCTCCTCCAGAATGTCAATAGCAACAAAGTCGGAACAACTCTCACGCGTGAGAAAGCTTTCTGTCGACGCATCATACTTGTCTCTGCTCTCTTCATTTGACCGGGTGATCGGAACGTCAACTCTCTCCACCCTCTCTCCGCCCTCTGTGCACGACCCGTCGGGACAAGTCGTGCGGGAGGATGACGACGTGGTCGCCATGCCTTTGCCTTGTTTGCGACGTATACGTGCAACCCGCCGCATCTCAGGGTACTTCCACGGCGAATCATCCTTAGACAAATCCACGAACTGAATACCACGCACACGACACACTTCCTTTATAAGTTTTATTATGGGTGTTTTTTTTTTTATACCTTTGAGACCTGAACCTCCATGAACTTTCAACCAGGTACGCATATCATCGGGCTTGACATTCCACCAATACTCAATGGTCTTTGCCTCAATGGCACTGATCGTGTCCTTTCGGGCATCCACGAAAAACTTGACAAACTTTCGCGACAACGAACGACCTTTGTGCCATACATCCATCTGATGCTCAATGTTTGTACCAAGAATACCAACCTTGAAGCTCGTCCCCTCGTCAGTAATAATACCTTTCACAGGAAACCCCCACTTTTTGAAGTCTTCCAACTCCCGTTCAAAAGCCCTTCTTTCTAGTCCTGTCGATGAAACACCTTCTTCGGTCTTGGGTAGTGTCACACAGTGTATAATCCTACGCGTGAAAGGATCCATAAATGTAACGCTGCACCACTCGGCCTCCCGTACCTGACCCCACCTACCATCCACACAAATCCAATAACCGCTCTCCTTACGAGCAAGCATGCACTCACGCGCCTTTTCCATACACCTCGTAGCATGCGCAATGATCTTTTCCCACAGACACCCCGCCCCACTCATGTACTTGTAAAACGTTCTCTTGCACGGGATTGGCACACCCAAGTTCCTGCCTACCTCCGACAGAGCCTGGTAACCGAATCCTGCTAGTGCAAAAGACGCGAGGAACCGTTGCAGCATCGGCAAACTTTTCCGACCAGGCTTGTCTGCAGCGCTCGGTGGCGGCTTGCGATCGACAGACCAAACCGAAACGGACTTTCCACACCTATCGCACGTCCACACCAGTCCGAGGACAGCCCACACCAGCTTCCAAGAGCGTAGCCTCATGGATCCACCACAACCTCCACTCGCAGCGCAACAAAGAGTCATGACCATGAAAAAACGAATGAGGTGGATCGGGTTCAGCAAGCATACGACATCGCGAAGCCCAGCGAGGGTTGGTTGAGCAGGCCAGCGTCCGACTCTGGGCTCGGAGTACCTGTCATGGATGTGTGCACTCCTGCATCGATGGATAATTGCCATGCACAAAAAAAAGGGAATCCACACAATAGATGAGCGTGTTTTTGGGGACTTCATACAGTCAACTGGTACTGTTAGATGTTCGCGCAACATTGATAAGGTAGGCTCGATGGTTGGGGAGCTGGAGTGCAATAAGGTGACCCAACAAGGCCGTACAAAATCTTACCCTGCATGGGTGTGTGGATCGACATTGTCTGTCGTACCCACATGCGTGACTCCTGCAGGCTCTCCACTTGGGCCTCCACATTCCGAATCCACCGTGACAGAGGCGTCGCCTCCTTGAGGAGGGTCAAGCGGATCTATGTCGATCGCCACCTCTCGCTGCTCCGTGCACCCCTCACCAACGACGTCACCAACATCCAGTGACGGTGAGACGTCATTCGGGTCATCTGTTGGTCCCAAAAATCAGATGATCGATACAAATGTGTTATTGGAGGCACTCCCACATGTGCACCTCAAAGCGTGCGACTCTAGTTGGCGCACACTTACCATTCCGTGGGAGATTTGCCACTGGCGAATCATGGTCTGCACCTGTCCCTCCATCAACCGTCGCCCTTCCCGTTGTGCGCGCAGGACGTTCCACCTGAAGTGCAGGGAACGCGTAAACCAGGCCTCCTATTGCGATAGGTTGCCCTTCCATCAACGCTTCGGGCCGACCAGCTGCACGATCCCGTCCTCCTTGAAATCTTTCAGAAAACCTCGCCAAATACTCTTCCACTCTCCCTTGTGCCTCTTCACCGTCCGCACCTGACCAATCGTGGTTTCAACGTCAGAATGTTGGCAACATGCATTCCCCTAGTATAGACTGGAGAGAAGGTTCAAACAACCAAACTCTAGAACTCCAGTGGCATTGAAATACTGCACTCACCAGCCTTTTTTGCTGCCATCATGAGAGCATCTTTTGCCCCTGACCTAGCGTGCAAAAGGAAGAACACCAAGTCGGACACTGTCGTGGTTCGACCCTCACCCATCAGCGAGCTCAGACCACACCGCAAGTAGCAAATAGGAATTTGCATCGTCTTTGATATCGCGAGGCTTACCTGGTCCTTGCCCTTTACAATCTCTTTTACCCTTGATCTCCATGTTGCGGAGAAGATCTTTCTCGGACGACCCATTCTGCACACCATGCACCCAAATTGATTATATGCAACCTCTGCATTTCAAGATTTAGAATGGGGGGAGTCCACCGCGTGGGAGAGGGCTGGCCAGCCCCTTTGATTGCGGTGGGCCCTGCCCATGGGATGGGCTGACTAGCGATGACATGATGACGAGAAAGGGTTTTCTTCGCGGGGGGAGAATGTTTGCATGATTAGGGGGGAGGGAGGCCTAGCAGGGGGTATACTGAAGGCATGATGACAGGTAAGGGAGGGCTAGTAGGGTGGAAACTCATGGCAATGAGAGGGAAGGGAGGGCTAGCAGGGAGGTACCTAATGGCATGATAAGGGGGAAGGGAGGGCAGGGTAGGGAGGGATGCAAGGGCAGTTGGGGGAAAGGCAAGGTCGCTCTGGAGTGAAATGGCAGAGCAGGGTAGGGTGGAATATCGTTGTCTCACCTCGTGCAAAATCGTTGGTGTTGTCCTCTTTGCCTCAGCAGACGTGGCGCCTTGTGTGAGGGAGTTGTGCTTTAGGAATATGAGTGCAAGCTACCCTGCCTTCAAAAAGGGAAAATAGGGGCAAAACGTAGGGATAGCAGGGGCTAAACATGGGGCTAGCACGGGGGAAACATGGGGCTAGCATGGGGGTAACATGGGGCTAGCAGGTGGGTAACATGGGGCTAGCAGGTGGGAAACATGGGGCTAGCATGGGGGTAACATGGGGCTAGCGGGGGGGTAACATGGGGCTAGCAGGGGGGAAACATGGGACTAGCATGGGGGTAACATGGGGCTGGCAGGGGGGGAACATGGGACTAGCATGGGGGTAACATGGGGCTAGCAGGGGGGTAACATGGGGCTAGCGGGGGGGAAACATGGGACTAGCATGGGGGTAACATGGGGCTAGCGGGGGGGAAACATGGGATTAGCTCCCTCCCTGCTAACATGGGGCTCGCAGGGGTGCAACATGAGACTAGCATGGGGGTAACATGGGGCTGGCAGGGGGGGAACATGGGACTAGCATGGGGGTAACATGGGGCTAGCAGGGGGGTAACATGGGGCTAGCGGGGGGGAAACATGGGACTAGGATGGGGGTAACATGGGGCTAGCGGGGGGGAAACATGGGATTAGCTCCCTGCTAACATGGGGCTCGCAGGGGTGCAACATGAGACTAGCATGGGGGTAACATGGGGCTAGCAGGGGAGAATTGCGGGACTAGCACGGGGAATACATGGGGCCAGCAGTAGGTGGCTACACATAGCACGGGGGATACATGGGGCCAGCAGTAGGGGTGTTGTGTGATTGCACGATAGAAACATGGGGCTAGCACGGGGAAAAGAGGATGTGACACGCGAAGGTGAGTAAGAGTGTTCTGGACGGAGGTTCATTTGCTGGCCCGCACTCCTAACGCTGCTGTGTGCAGCGATGCACTAACCACCCAACCTTGGAAGAGAAGGGTAGGGAGGGGATTGGATGATGTGACATGCGAAGGTGAGCAAGAGTGTGCGGTCTGAGTGGTTCCTGTGTTGGTGAGCACTCCACATGCTGCGGTGAGCAGCGATGCTATCACGACCATTTCTATAATGGGACGGGTAGGGAGGTGCAAGCGGATGTGACAAGCAAAGGTGAGTAAGAGTGTGCGGGCTGAGTGGTTCCTTTGCTGGTGAGCACTCCACATGCTACTGTGAGCATTCATGTCTCACAACCCAACCTCGGATGTAACATGAGGCTATCATGGGGGAAACCCGGGGCTAACACGGGGGTAATATGGGGAATGCGGCAGGGGGAATGCGGAAGGGTGAATGCGGTAGGGGGGATGCGCAAGGGGGGATGCGCCACGGTAAGAATGCGGACGGGGAAAGGCGGAAGGGGGATGAGCGAGTACCTGAGCGCACTACCCCAGTGCGAGGGGCAGATGGAGCAGATGGAATTTGGTTCGCCTGGCGGCAGAATCGGCACACCCGCAGGCCGAGGAGATCGTTCACATGGGAAGGCGAGTAAGAGTGGGCTGAGAGGTCCAGGGCTGCTTAGCGCTTTCGTCGCTGCCCTCAGCCGCAACGCACTGACCACCCAGACTGGGAAGGGAAGGGGAGGGAGTGCATAGAGGATGCGACAAAAGAAGGCGAGTAATAGCGTGAGGGTTGAGAAGTTCTTTTGCTGCTCAGCGCACTTCACGCTGCTGGGGCTCAGCGATGCAATGACCACCAAGCCTGGGAGACATGGGCCTTGCATCTGCCCTAAACATGGGGCAAGCATGGTCGGACCGCTAGGGCAAGGAGTGAGGAAACATGGGACTATCACGGGGGGAATATGGGGCAATCAGGGGGGAGAAATGGGACTGGCATGGGGGAACAGTGGGGCGCGTAGGGGGGTACCATGGGGCTAGCTTGGGGCAAACAAGGGGCGAGTAGTAGGGGGGAAACATGAGGCTAGTATAGGGGGCACCACGAGGCTAGCTTGGGGGGGAAGATCGGGCAATTCTGGGGGAGGAAAAAGGGGCTATTGGGGGGGAAACATGGGGCCTGCATGGGCCCAAGATGGGGCTAACTTGGCCTAAAACTGTGGCTAAAGATGGGGGAATGCGGAAGGGGGAATGCGGAAGGGGGTAGGCGGAAGGGGGAACGCGGAAGGGGGGAATGCGGAAGGGGGAATGAGGAAGGGGGAATGGGGAATGGGGTCTGCGGTAGGGGGAATGGGAAGGGGGGAATGCGGAAGGGGGAAGGCGGAAGGGGGAATGCGGAAGGGGGAAGGCGGAAGGGGGAACGTGGAAGGGGGAATGCGGAAGGGGGAATGCGGAAGGGGGAACGCGGAAGGGGGAAATGCGGAAGGGGGAATGCGGAAAGGGCAATGCGGAAGGGGGGAATGCGGAAGGGGGAATGCGGAAGGGGGAATGGGGAATGGGGTATGTGGTAGGGGGTATGGGAAGGGGGGGAATGCGGAAGGGGGAAGGCGGAAGGGGGAATGCGGAAGGGGGAAGGCGGAAGGGGGGAACGCGGAAGGGGGAATGCGGAGGGGGGAACGCGGAAGGGGGAACGCGGAAGGGGGAACACGGAAGGGGGAATGCGGAAAGGGGAATGCGGAAGGGGGAAGGCGGAAGGGGGGGAATGCGGAAGGGGGAATGCGGAAGGGGGAATGGGGAATGGGGTATGCGGTAGGGGGAATGGGAAGGGGGGAATGCGGAAGGGGGAAGGCGGAAGGGGGAATGCGGAAGGGGGAAGGCGGAAGGGGGAATGCGGAAGGGGGAACGCGGAAGGGGGAAAATGCGGAAGGGGGAATGCGGAAAGGGGAATGCGGAAGGGGGAAGGCGGAAGGGGGGAATGCGGAAGGGGGAAGGCGGAAGGGGGAATGCGGAAGGGGGAACGCGGAAGGGGGAAATGCGGAAGGGGGAATGCGGAAGGGGGAATGGGGAATGGGGTATGCGGTAGGTGGAATGGGAAGGGGGGAATGCGGAAGGGGGAAGGCGGAAGGGGGAATGCGGAAGGGGAAGGCGGAAGGGGGAACGCGGAAGGGGGAAGGCGGAAGGGGGAATGCGGAAGGGGGAATGGGGAAGGGGGAACGCGGAAGGGGGAAATGCGGAAGGGGGATTGCGGAAAGGGGAATGCGGAAGGGGGAAGGCGGAAGGGAGAGCGTGGAAGCGGGAATGCGGAAGGGGGGAATGCATTCCATGGGGAATGCGGAAGGGGAATTGTGGAAGGGGGAATGCGGTAAGGGGGAATGCGGATAGGGGAATGCGGTAGGGGGAATGGGAAGGGGGCAATGCGGAAGGGGGAACGCGGAAGGGGGAATGCGGAAGGGGAAATGCGGAAGGGGGAAAGGGGAAGGGGGAATGCGAAAGGGGGTATGCGGAAGGGGGAACGCGGAAGAGGGAATGCGGATGGGGGGAATGCGGGTGGGGGAATGCGGAAGGGAGAATTCGGAAGGGGGGATGGGGAAGGGGGAATGCGGATGGGGGAATGCGGAAGGGGGAATACGGAAGGGGGAACGCGGAAGGGGGAATACGGAAGGGGGAACGCGGAGGGGGGCGTCGCGGAAAGGGGAATGCGGAAGGGGGAATGGGGAAGGGGGAATGCGGAAGGGGGAATGCGGAAGGGTGAAGGCGGAAGGGGAAATGCGGAAGGGGGAATGCGGAAGGGGGAACGCGGAAGGGGGAATGGGGATGGGGGGAATGCGGATGGGGGAATGCGGAAGGGAGAATTCGGAAGGGGGTATGGGGAAGGGGGAATGCGGAAGGGGGAATGCGGAAGGGGGAATGCGGATGGGGAAAGGCGGAAGGGAGAATTTGGAAGGGGAAATGGGGAAGGGGGAATGCGGTTGGGGGAATGCGGAAGGGGGAAGGCGGTTGGGGGAATGCGGAAGGGGGAAGGCGGATGCGGATGGGGGAATGCGGGACCGAGAGTTCGGAATGGGGAAGGGGGAATGCGGACGGGGGAATGCGTAAGGGAGAATGCGGAAAGCGGCATGCTTCATGTTATGCGACGGTGCGAGTGTGTGGGGGCAAAACGATACGGCGCGTGTGCCTCTCCTCATACGCGCGACGCAGGCTCAAGGGCTGGGCGAACGCGACCCGCGTGTGCCTGTCCTCATACGCGCTGTGATGTCACGCGCGCTATGCATATTTAGTGGCCCCTTGCTGCGCGCGTTTTGCTGGCGTGCGTTGCTCTGCTGAGCGCGCAATGCTGAAGCACGCTGTGCTGGCGCGCAATGCAGGCGTGCGTGCGATGCTACGGCGAGCGCGAGACAGTTGCTGTACGTGCTGACGCTACGAACGCTTTTGCTGGTCGTTTCCTGCCCTGTGCTAATTACCGACGCCACTAATCACTCACACGCGACTTCGAGGGTGGTCGCAGAGGCGTAGCACCCTCCAGCGTGCGCCCTGGTTTCTTTTCTCTAGTGAAGTTATTAGCGGCTTATTCTACTTCTGTGTGAGAGTGGCAGGTGAGAGAGGTGACGGGAGCATCTCAACATTTGTGACACAACCAACCCAACCCTTGTTCATTCGTACGAAAGCGACTCAGGTTTTCGCCAACATTCTAGCTCCCCTCGTTTTTTTCGTCTCGGCGAAATGAAGGGGTGGACACTGTACAAAACAAACAGTAATGCCAGGCAACGGGCAACTTTTGGCAGTGTTGGGTTCAGAAGTTTTTTTTTTTTAACCAGGCTTGCCAGCGCGAAAGTGCTGGCTGGCGAAAACCAGGATTTCGTGCAGACACTTTCCATCCGCAGTAACAGTTCGCCAGGGTTCTGGGTTTTGGGTGGCAAATGTGCACCGTCGCTTTAAAGCGGCAGTATACATTTGACAGCGGGGTTCAGGGTTTTACAGTGTGCCCCACAATTTGGCCCCCACCATGTACCATTTATAAACTTTTGGCACTCTCCCTGCCAAATGTATACTGCCGCTTTAAAACTGCCAAACCTAGGTTTGGCAGTTTGAGGGTTACAGGTGCAGGAAAATTTCCAACTTTTTTCGCCTTGCTTTGCACTGACCGCAGGCACAAGCGAGGGTGACCCTAGGCTGAAAACCCTTCATTTCGTTGAAATTGTTGGATGGGTTCGTCGAAGGTTTTACCGTTTATGTTGGCCGTTGAGTTTCTGCATTCAATTAGAAGTGGTTTGTCTTTTGCGCGCACAGTGCCTAGACCTGTTAGATTTTGCTGAGGTGTATCCGAGCTGTCAGAACTACACAGAAAAACCAATTGCATTTGGTCTAACAGGTTTGTAGGTTCGTAATCACACCTCAACTTTGGTTCCGAACCTCAATTCCCAAAATCATGCATTTCTGACCCGAACAGGGCCTATATACACTATCTGCTCGCGAAAATGGCAACCCTGATCCGTCGCCCGATACTGTTTTGGTTAGGTCTGGGTTGAGTTGTTTGGGCAATGGCCGGGGCTTCGCAAGCCGACGAGATGTACATTTTGGCTTATATAATGGTCTGGATGCCAATTACACATAACCACTGCTATTTTCTATAGGTCTATTTCACACCCCACTTGCGCACACGGGTATGCACCCTTTCTTTTTTTTTTACCGAGGGTTGTGTGGGACGTCATTCGTTTTACTAAGCTTTATGTTCCTTGATCCTGAAATGAATCGAAGTAGCGCAACTGGATTCGGAACAGAAAATCAGCATTCACACGACCAGTAATTGTGCTATACTCGCCCGACGAAATTTTACAACATCCAGCATTAGGCGTCCTCCATAGCAGGCCCTCAGATTCACTTTTAGGGACGTTGATGTATCAGGTACCCTAAAATCTGATTTTTTAGGAACACTGAAAATCAGCTTTTTTTTCACAGGGACCCTGATGCATCAACGTCCCTAAAAGTGCATCTGAGGGCCTGCATTCCAGCCCAGGGAATCGAACCTCCGACCTAATCCTTCGACGCGATTCTACTAACAACTGAGACACTCGAAGCCGTTAGCGGTTAGTCTGTACGTTTTACGCACGGAAAATGTTTAAGTGCTGGTCACCTCGGGACTTTTCAGGAAGGAATTTGAATGTGCATTCAGTGTGCACTTCGATAAAAGACTGAAAACTCAGTGTTAACTATGAAATGAAGGCTGAAAAATCAGTCTAAGAAAAATCTACACACTGAAAAATCAGGGTAGGTACACAAAAGTAGGCTGAAAATCAGGAATTTCAGGGGAAAATTCATGATATCGTAGGGCCTGCTCCATAGCCCTTATTTTTTCTAGAAAGGCAGAGTGACAGCGTAGCGGAAACGTGTTTGTAGAAAGAACAAGATAGAAAACTAGCATTTGAAGTATAGTGGTCATTGAATTGATAAAATGATGATGAAGAAGTGACACAGCATGGTATTTATGCATCCACCTCCCCCTCCCAAAATGACCCCATTCACACCAATAATGCTACCCTCCAATAATGCTACCCTCCAATAATTATACCCTCCAATAATGCTACCCTCCAATAATGCTAGACTCCAATAGTTCTGGCACTACAATAATTGTGACAATTATTGTAGGACCTGGAGGCTTATAAAGGGGACTATACAAAAACCGAACAGCACAGGTATACAGAATTCGTTATACTGTATTTGGATTTCCAACAATCCCCCTTGCTGTAAGTTTTAGTGAATTCGTTTTTCGTGGAGGATGGGGTGGATGAGGTGGTGTACCACCGTAGAGGTAGGGGTGCTCCCAAACCAAGCTAGGGTTTGGTGTTGGCCAAGCTGCTGGTCACTGTAGCACTTTTCCCCTTTCCAAGTCCTTGGTCCTTCCAAACTCTTGCCCAACCATCTTCCCTCACGTTTCCAATCTCTCCTTCCAATCTCCACATTCTAGATCGAGATTTAGAGAGTAGTGGCTGCTGCTCAGGAAATCGTAGCAACTCCATGGCGAAAATTCCTCTTAACCATGGCGAAATGCCCGTATCGCCATGGCGGAATGCCCTTAGCGCACGTCGAATTGCTGAAACCGTATACTGTACGATGCGCGATTGTCACTGCTGCTGACTTTATCGTACGCTCGCTGCGCGACGACGCGAAACTGCAGTTGCGGATGACGCGCCACGGTAGCGCATGATGCGAAATCTGTAGCGGACGACGCATGGCGTGCTGTTGGCGCGAACTGTATCAGCAGGCGCACACTTTGCGCAACAGAAACGACGACCTCGCGTTCGTGTCAGCAGCTGACTTCCCAGTGCATGTTTCCTGCATCATGGTGTCTGCAGTTGACGCGCGTTTGCGACGACCGCGGTTGCGGATAACGCGAATCGGTAGCGGATAACGCGAATCCGCATTGGATAACATGGCGCGGAACTTCATTGGCACACGCACACTTTGCGCGATAGAAGCGACGACATGGCGTTCGTTAGCGGCTGACGATCTGGTGCGCGTCTGCTGCATCATCTTTCCTGTCCACGCCTGCTGCATCTTCGGGGGCCTTTCTCCCCCTGCCGTTCTCCCCCTGCATTTCTCCGTAAACCTTGCCTTTCTCCCCTTGAAAGGATATGAAGTTGTGCGAGTCTTGAATGCACGCCAAAGGATGATGCCAAGTCTGCTCGGACTTCACCCATGGTGTCCTGTGTTTCTCCCCCCAAACTCCAACTGACACACGGGAGCAGCAGGAGTTGGCGGACTCCATCTGGTATGCAGAAATGCGTGCTCCCATGTATATTCTCCATTTTCTCTCAGGTGGTGCAGTTTATCAGTAGCAACCAGTCGCACGATACCGCTGCATCAGAGGACGAGGGATGGCAACCGGCAGCATCTTCTTTGCCTGCTCCCCCTGCCTATTGGCAATACTTGAGCAGGTGAGTAGGTCTTCCCCTTATGCTTCGTGACTCCATGGCCCACTCCAATGCCACCAGAAACATTCCACACCCAACCCCCCCCCTGTCAAACTTATATGCTATAGCTTGTTTAGGCTATAGTGGGGTACTCAATATGGGGTACAACACTTTAGGGTTTCACTACTTGTACCCAACTTTCTGCTAGTTCAATCATTCATGTTTCTTTCATTCTGACATGGTATCAGAGCAGGTCCTCCGCTAGGACCGATTTTTTTTAGGGCCCACCACTACTGACTGCCTACTAGCGCCCTCATGCGCCCTACTGTCGGAGCGCCCTCGAGCGCCTCCCCCCAGCGCCCTCGTGCGCCCCTCCTTAGCGGCCCTGTAAGGCCCCGCGACCCGCGACCCGCCCCTTAGCGGCCCCGTCGGCCCCGCGAGCTGCCCCTTAGCGGCCCCTTACGGCCCCGTCGACCCCGCGCGCCGCCCCTTAGCGGCCCCTTACGGCCCCGTCGACCCTGCGCGCCGCCCCCTAGCGGCCCCTCACGGCCCCGTCGACCCCGCGCGCAACCCCTTAACGGCCCCTTACGACCCCGTCGACCCCGCGCGCCGCCCCTTAGCGGCCCCTTACGGCCCCGTCGACCCCGCGCGCCGCCCCTTAGCGGCCCCTCTCGGCCCCGTCGACCCCGCGCGCCGCCCCTTAGCGGCCCCTCTCGGCCCCGTCGACCCCACACGCGCCCCACCTAGAGGCCCCGTCGGCCCCGTCGACCCCGCGCGCGCCCCACCTAGCAGCCCCGGCAGCCCCGCACGCGACAGCCACGGCCCCGCCAGAACCGAGCCGCCCGAACCGAGCCGCCCGAACCGAGCCGCCCGAACCGAGCCGCCCAGCCCGAGCCGAGCCGCGCCGCCCGAACCGAGCCGCGCCGCCCTCCCCGTACTGAGCAGCCCCCCCTGGACCGAGCCGCCCTACCTGAGTCGTGCTGCCTGCTGTTTTTAGGGTTTCGCCTGCTGCTACTACTGCTACTGTTCCTGCTATTACTACTGCTCTTACTGCAACTATGGCTAGCCCTGCTGTACTCGCTTTCGATGCTGAGGGCCGCCCACTGAAGTTTGACACCTGGCTAGATGACTTGCACCTGTTCCTCCAGCTCACTGCCAAGGAGGACATCTCGCTGTACGATCACGCGCTAGGCAATGCTGCTGCCCCTGCTGTTACT